AGGTGGTGGCCGAAGTAGGTTTGATTTTCACTGAAACAAAGAGGCAGCAAGTCTCTGAGCTCCCAGGACTCTGAGCAAAATGCAGAATGGCTCAGAGTGCTGTGACCTGGCTGGAAATCTTGTAATGGCCCTGATAGTGATTCATGTGCTCACAAAACAAAGGGCTATCTCTCTAACCCTTCACAGCTCAGCCAGCGCCTCCTCCACTGAGCTGCTTTTATGAGGAGACTCTGGCAGCCAGGCTAAGAGAGAAAAAGGACACTCGGGGAATTTTAAGTGCTTTGGATCAGCAGTTGTCATATACAATTGATGTTCATTTATATTTCACTAGCCAAAATCTAATGCTGCCGAAAATTGGGGAGAAATATTTCAAAGACTAATCAGGCCCAATCCTGCTTTAATGTAAAAAAAATGAGCTGTCTTACCTTTTTTCATTCCTAGTATCAGAGGGAGATTTAATGTTTCCTGACAGAGCTTTAAATACTTTGCTGTTCAGACTTCAATGAATTCACAATAATTATATCAGTTAAACCAGCTTGGTTTTTCCAAAGCTGTTTCAAGCTTAGAGTATGTTTGAACTCCTTAGTATGGCCTTCATCCTTTGATACTGGGTTTAAGAGAGAAAGGGCCAATCCTCAGATGGATCACCACTTAACCATTTAACCCATTTATCTATTAGTTGTTTGTGTTTTAATCTATCAACTCAGTGGTCTATAATTTCCCAGACTCCTCCTTTCCGGGAAGTTTAATTGCACAGAATGTAGGAGCCATATGCTATTCCCAGTGGAGAGTTTCAAGGAAGACCCAGTGATTTTTAATTCCCAGAAGATCAAGCAATAAAGACTTCAGTAGATTATCATTAAGAATTGATTTAGCATTTAGCGTCTAACTAAACATTTTACAGGAGCTTTTATTTTGTCATTTCTATGAAGGAGGCTAAAAATTATCTTTGCTTCACAGTGAAGAAAAGGAGAAATATCAATATATCATTGTTGTTTTTTGGAGGGGAGAAGAGTGGAATACCAGTTTCTTTAGGTAAAAAATTAATTCTATGCATCCCTTATCACTCCCTCAAGAAATCCAACAATTTCATCACAGCTTTGGCTTCCATCATTGCACTCACTCTGAACCACACTCTCCAGTAAAATGAGATCTTCTCGATACAAGGAGTGAGCAAACAAAAGAGTTCTTACCTTCCTTCAGAAGAATAGCCAAAGAGCACTAACCACGTTCAATTAGAGCTATAAAGCAAATGGATGAATCAGAAGGTCTCTCCTCTGTGTAAGGGATGGTAGTATAGACCTTATTTCTTCAGATAATCATTGAACCCCCACAGGAGAAATTGGGAACAAAGAGTTCCCAAATATGATCATTGGCTTGTGACCATATTTGGGAGCTTTGTTTTCCCACGTAAAAAAGAAATTAGACATTATAGAGTGGATACATATTAACAAAAAAATAAATTATCAAAGATGAACATAAGTGGCTGTAAAATCAGAGCTGGCCTTCAAAATACACACATTGCAGGTCAAAATAGAGGAGAGATGATAATAAGACAATGTTTGCTTTGAACTTCACAGTCAACATTTATTGTATTTTATCTTAATTTTCTAATAACTATTTGTTATTTTACATTTGATTATCTCATAAATCCAAGCTTTCATAATTTGATGTTCTGCTTTTTAATGTTGCCTTACCCTATTTGCATGCTATTCCAAGATAAATATTAGCAACTACAATTTCTATTTTCATTTTAAGTAGGAAAATGTTTGATGATATTAATAAGGCTAACTTACAAAAGGTTACATCTTTTTTTTTTTTTTTTTACATATTTTAATGATTTTTTTTGCCCCCCTCCCTCCCTCCCCCATATCCCCTCCCTCCCCATAGTTTTATGTCCATTGGTTGTACTTATATGCATGTATACAAGTCCTTCGGTTGATCTATTATCTCCCCCAGATCCTCCTCCCCTCCCCGCTGTAATTTGACAATCTGCTTGTTGCTTTACTGTCTCTATATCTATCTTTTGGTTCATCAGTTTATAATGCTCTTTATTATCCACAAATGAGTGAGGTCATGTGGTGTTTCTCTTTCATTGATTGGCTTATTTCACTCAGCATGATGTTCTCCAATTCCATCCAGGTTGCTGCAAATGATGAGAATTCCTTCTTCTTTATGGCAGCATAGTATTCCATTGTGTAGATGTACCATAGTTTTTGGATCCAATCATCTGCTGACGGGCACCTAGGCTGTTTCCAAATTCTGGCTATTGTAGATTGTGCTGCTATGAACATAGGGGTGCATATATCCTTTCTGATTGGTGTTTCTAGTTTCTTGGGATATATTCCTAGGAGTGGGATTACTGGGTCAAATGGGAGTTCCATTTTCAGTTTTTTGAGGAAACTCCACACTGTTCTCCACAGTGGTTGCACCAGTCTGCATTCCCACCAGCAGTGCACGAGGGTTCCTTTTTCTCCGCAACCTCGCCAACACTTGTCGTTTGTCGATTTGTTGATGTTGGCCATTCTGACAGGTGTGAGATGGTACCGCTTTGTTGTTTTGATTTGCATCTCTCGTATAATTAGTGACTTTGAGCATGTTTTCATGTGCCTTTTGGCCTTCCTTCTGTCTTCTTTTGAAAATATTCTATTTAGGTCCCTTGCCCATTTCTTAATTGGATCATTCATCTTCCTTTTATTTAGTTGTATCAGCTGTCTGTAGATGTTAGAGATTAAACCTTTATCAGTGGTGTTATTTGCAAATATGTTCTCCCACACCGTGGGCTTTCTTGTTGTTTTGTTGATGGTTTCTGTTGCTGTAAAAAAGCTTTTTATTTTGATGTAGTCCCATTTGTTTATTTTCTCTTTAGCTTCCATTGCCCTAGGGGCAGTATCAGTGAAGAAGTTCTTTTGGCATACGTCTGAGATTTTGCTGCCTGAGGATGCTTCTAGTATTTTTATGGTTTCCCGTCTGATGTTTAAGTCCTGTATCCATTTTGAGTTTATTTTTGTGTATGGTGTAAGGTGGTGATCTAGTTTCATTCTTTTGCATGTGTCTACCCAATTTTCCCAACACCATTTATTGAAGAAACTGTCTTGACTCCATTGTATATTCTTTCCTCCTTTGTCAAATATTAATTGAGCATATTGATTTGGGTTGATATCTGGGTTCTCGATTCTATTCCATTGATCTATATGTCTGTTCTTGTGCCAGTACCAGGCTGTTTTGAGAACAGTGGCTTTGTAATACAGTTTGAAGTCCGGTATTGAGATCCCTCCTACTTTACCCTTCTTTCTCAGGATTGCTGTGGCTATTCGGGGTCTTTTATTGTTCCAAATGAACTGTTGGAGAGTTCTTTCTAGGTCAGTGAAATATGCCCTTGGTATTTTAATGGGGAGTGCATTGAACCTATAGATTGCTTTAGGAAGTATGGACATTTTGATGATGTTGATTCTACCAATCCATGAACATGGTATGTTCTTCCATCTCCTTACATCATCCTCTATCTCTTTTTTCAATGTCGTGTAATTCTCTGCATATAGATCCTTTACTTCCTTAGTTAAATTTATTCCTAGGTATCTTAATTTTTTTGGTGCGATGGTAAATGGAATTGCTTTTTTAGTCTCTGTTTCTGTAGTTTCACTGTTGGTGTATAGAAATGCCATGGATTTCTTGGCGTTAATTTTGTATCCTGCTACATTGCCAAATTCATTTATTAAGTCAATTAGTTTCTTAATGGAGTCTTTTGGGTTCTTTATGTACAATATCATGTCATCTGCAAATAAGGATAACTTTACTTCTTCTTTTCCAATTTGGATGCCCAAAAGGTTACATCTTAAGGCAACAAATTTGGACTGTTTGTAGGATTAATGCCAAGTTGACATTTTCCTCCTTAAGTTGTGTATATGTCAGGTAACTTAAGCTATAACATTAGTGTGAGCACTTGCCCTAACCAAAAATTTACAGTCTACATGTCATTAGCTAGCCTTCAAATCAGATAGCCACCCCCCTGGAGAGGTTGTTCCTAGCAAGATGAAGGTGATTTTAGCCATCTTAATGTTCCAACAGCACCAGAGTATTCTTAATCAGCATAATGCATGTTAAAAAGGGGTTTCAATTAATGACTTGTCAGTTGGTATTTAGGAAAATTAAAAGTGGATATGAAAATAGTGATATAAATACTTGTGGATTGTATAAAATATTCTAGAGATTTCCACCATGCTTGCATAAATAGAATAAGTTAGAAAACCATACGGCCTGTATCATTAGGGATATTGTTTTCTAGATTGCTCAGTGTCTGGCCATTTACTTGGTCCCCAAATGGCCTAATATGTACTGTAAAGTTAACTGAATCCTGCCTGCCTCAAGTGAACATTGCACACACTGGTGTAGTTAGAATACCTAAAGACTAAGAGCTAGAATTTCATCAGACTTATTAGAATAGGTTATATGAGTTGTTTTGTGTCTGCTTCCTAATAAATGTTTACTAGGCATCTTTATATGTGGCCAAATCTCATCAGAGATTTACTTTCAATATAAACTGGTGAAGAGGTTGTTATTTCTTATTCATCTCTAATTACTGGTGGTTACCATTACCCACAAAATAACCATTGTAATATTATGCCTTACTCAACATTGATCTCTCTTTAGTCCCATCCCAGATTTTCTTAATGTCACCCAGGTGCTTGTAGGCAATGAGAGGACAATAAACTTGTAGATCTCCACACTACAGACCCGGAGAAATGCAGTAGGATTCAACACATGCACATGGCTCTCTGGGGTTAGCAGTCCCCTCAGACTCTATGGTTGAGTTTGACTATTGCCTGTTCTTTGCTCCCAAGTTCCTGAAGCAATTAAGATTTTTCTAGCAACCTCCAGGGGACTCCTGATCTATACTTTTTTCAGTAACTTTCTTCAGTGGGGCCATGGTCAAACCCTTTGGTAGTTGCCCATAAGAAACAACACAGATATGGACATCCTGGGACCATGCCATGAGTAAGATGACATGGCAGCAAATGTACAAACATTGGAATCACTCAGAGAAGATTAGCACAACACTTGCACAAAGACAGCACACGTATTTGTGAAGCCTTTTGTATTTTGCGGTTCCCAGAGGTCACTTGACACTTCGCTGGTTAATACCAAGGAAACCATTTGAGTCAAAGTCCACTATGTGGCCTGCGATATTGAAATTGTGATTTTTCCCTACAGAGAGGGATCCCAAATGGTCTATTCCTTTGCCTTTTCTTTCAGTCTAGAATGCAGTTGTGATGTTCAGGGGGACTGCAGACATTTTATGAGCCTCATACTGAGGGTGGCACAACAGTGGAAAGATAGGCAGCTGCTTACCACCTGAGTCTCTGAACCTCCATACCAACATAATTTTGCCATCTCCGGACTCGTGATGTTTTACAAATAATACATCCTATTTAGTGAAGCCACTATGGTTGTTTTGTTGTTACATGAAGCTTTAAATAACACCTACTGATAATAATGGCCATGCTAGTGTCCCCTTTCATCAGCTTATTCTGTTAATTGCCAAGGTTATCTCCATATCATTATCATTGCCCCAGCTTCCCCTCTATGGGTGAGTAAGCCTGATGTTAATTAATCTGGAAGGGGTGGGTTTATGGCTCTGGTACCTTGCACTAAAGAAGACCTTAGGGCAACAAGATGACATTGTATGAAGAACACAGACTGGCAAATCTTTCGTGACAAATTTCACTCACCCACTCTAAGCCTCAAATTCTTTATCTCTAAAATGAATAATATAATATTTACCTAAATATTTACTGAGAGGTATGGGAAATGCTTAACTGAAGTGGCAGTAATACATATCTATATGTTTTACTTTATTATAAATTCTTCTCTCTCATGAACACAAATGGAATAAGTTATCGCACCCTTTCCCATCCCTTTCCCAAGGCAATCCCTCCATCTAAATGCTATAATTTCCTTTGGAAAAACATCTCCCCCTGAAGTTTGTCCATGGTTTTCATTTTCTTTGGATTTTGTGTGACTGAAATATTAGAGGGGAAGGGAGTGGGGAGAAGAAAAAGGGCCGTAGAGTGGGACCCTGGGCATGGATGACTTCTCTCTCAGGCAGAAGAGAACTTACAAGAAGAGAGCAGGCAAACATCTCCCCTTCCTCAGAACTTCCACTTTTCCCCAGGGAGAAAGGGAACCAAGTTTGTGACCATATCTTTAAACATACCACAAAGTGTATCTGCAGTTGTAGTTAGGGTTTCCTGGAGAGCTAAGTCTTCTGAGATGTGCTTTTGAAATGAAGTCATCATCACCTGAGGTGTATGTTTATAATACACACAAACATATACCACACACATATTTTAATGTAACATTAGACTCTGTTGCCATGGAAACTATTACAGGCTACCAAATTAAGCATCGTGACACCACTGTAATAAGGAAAAAGAAATCCAAAGGAAACACCAAGCATTTCTTTAAGCACAAATAGCTTTAGTAATTAAATAGACAGAAACAACACAGAAAACCACAAATTAATATTTAGAAGCCCCTTTTCAGTAGGAAAAAAATCAGCTTTGATGTTGTTTGCCATTTTTCATTGTGTTGTATTGTACATCTTTATGAATCCACTTTGGCACTAGGTTAGCCAGGATAGATCTGTTCCATCAGAGGCCTCACACACCTAAAAGCTCAACTTTCCCTCTAACCAGTTCCACCTTCCACAGTCAGTGAGAAAGAATTTATGGCTCTTTTTATTCATCAGAAGGGGACTTCTTAAAAAGAAAGCTCAGATGTGACGTTGGTCTTATATCCCTTGTTTCACCCAGACAACATGTAGAACTACCCCTGGGGTTTTGAATATATTAACATCCTTTCACAATTAACCCTAATGGGACACGTGTAGCATTTTTTCTCTCCCAAGCAGATATATTCAAAGCCAAAAAATACATATGTTTAAATAGATCTCATTAGATCAGCTACACCAAGTCTCTCCTCTTTACACACTGAAGATTGTACCTCTTTTCACTGTCATGGAACATTAACATAGAAAGGCATACACAAGAATGACATGGATTTGACAAAAAATTAATGATTTGTACATCACTTTAATGCCTCAAATCTGCAATTCATGTATGCTAATTAGTTCATAATGGGCTGTTGAAGAACAGAACTGTCATCCTGCTGCTTCACAGGTTTCTGGAAGCTCCGATTCAGCACAGACTTGCCGCTTGGCTGCTGGGTTCTGGGCTGTAACACGGCAGATCTATGATAGCATTTTCCCCCCTGCACGATTGTTTCCTGGATGTGGTGCTTTAATCTATCAGAGTTATGATGGCATATCTCAAATAAGTGGTTCCTGGGTGCCGCAATACATACCGGGAGCAATAGCATGGCATCACTATATCTAAATGATTGATCTCTGGATTTTAGGCTGCCAGGCTACACCTCAGAGGGCAGCTGTCAGCTTTCTGGATGTATGAAGTTGTATTATGCAGCACATTTGGAAAATATATGTACATTTTTTTTAATTTACAGATAAAAGGGGCTGTAAAACTTGAAGAGAAAACAAAGGGAGTTAAAAAGATCAGATATCTTTTCTTACTGTGAAATCAGGTATAGCTCCCCAATGCAAGAAACCAGCTACTGGTACTTATTTTTTATGAGTGTGTGTGTTTTAAGGTCGGGGTGTGGAGAGGGTGTATGTGTGCTGTCTGGGCAGAAACAAAGGCTGTTACACAACACGAGAGAGTCAGGTTGGACTGTTTCACGAACCAAATGAAAACATCAGAGCTGGCTGGAAGCTGTGAGATTTGAAAGCACGTTACTCTGTTTTTACTGGAGAGACACTGATTCTTCCTGATCTCATGATAGAAGCTTGGCCCATGGTGTTTCTCATGTCACACTGGCTGATCTGCAAACCCAAAGAGAAGAAGACACAAAAGAAAGAAGCATCCAATTTGTATTTAGGTTTGAAATAGCAGTCAGGATCCTAACTGCTGAAGTTTTGTCTTAAAGACTCCAAAATGAAGATGTATTTAATTAAAATTTCTTTTTCTACTGACAAATATGAACTAGAGGCTATAATGGGAGAACTGGGCCGGGCCAGGAAAATAAAATATTCCAAATGTAGTTGAGCTATAAGGGGTTTTTAGATAATTAGAAATAGATACTTTATTCTCTCTCTCTCCCCGCCCCCCACTCCCTTGGTGTACCAGTTAATAATGCGGATTTTTTTTTCAATAAATGGAGATACACATATGTTGATATATATGCAATTTGATATGTATGCAATTTTGTTGTATTGACAACAAGCTTCAAAACTTCATATGTCAAATTTTCTGAAGGTATTAATATCATAGATATTTTTATGCTTAAAAATGTAGAATTTTGTATAAAAAAGAGCATTTGCGAGAAGTTTTAATTCATTAATTTACTTTAAAGAAAAGTGCTACTGAAAGTTACCGTATACTTCAAGAAGCTTATGGTGAGCATGCTCCATCTCAAGATAATTGTGAACACTGGTTTAAACACTTTAAAAGTGATGATTTCTATATGAAAGACAAAGAACGTCCAGGTCAATCTGAACCATGCTTTGATCGTAAAACGACCAGAATGTTCTAAAAGACACAGCAAAGTAATTTTGCTTCACGATGGCGCACCATTACACATTTCAAAACCAATTAAAGACACATTAAAAGATCTTGCCTGGGAAGTACTAACCCACCCACTATATTCACCAGACCTTGCTCTCTCAGATCACCACTTGTTCCGATCGATGGCACATGCACTTTCTGAGCAGCACTTCAAAACATACGAAGAAGTGGAAAATTGGGTCTCTGAATGGTCTGCCTTAAAACAAGAAAAGTTCTATTGGGACGGTATCCACAAATTACCTGAAAGGTGGGGGAAATGTGTAGCTAGCAATGGACATTACTTTGAATAAAGCACTTTTGATATGTCTCTTGAAATCAACATGCTTCCTTTGATTACAAAATCCACATTATATACCACATCTCCCCTCTCTATCATCCTCTTTCTCAAATCAATAAAAACATACATTCTGGTGAGGACTTAAAAAACCATCATTATGAAAATAATAAAAAGGCTACAGAAGAGGAGGAAATATTTACAATAATTATATTTTACTTGTATTCAGAATACATAAAGAAAACTTATAACTTGATAATAAGGGAAGAAATAACCCAATGAAACAATGGGCAAGAGATTTCAACAAAAATTTATTTAAAAAAGAAATATATAGGACTGCCTGTGTTTCCATGTTCCATGTCATGGCCAAAAATTCTCTCCTGACAGCAAACCAGGGCAAGTGTAGGGCTCTCTGTATTTGTTTCCCAACTCCCAGGACTCACTGTCTTTCACTGTTTGCTGTTCAAATGTTCATAACCATTGTGCTATATATTGTGTCCAGTTTTTTAGTTGTTTTGGAAAGAAAGATAATTTAGATTCTTGTTACTTAGACATGGCTAGAAGCAAATAAATAAATAAATAATCCCATTTAAGTTCTTTACTGAATAGATGGGAGGCATTGAGAATTTTGCCCCCCTGCTTAGTGTTATTTTTGATGAGCAGTGTGTAATATTCAATAAATCCACTTTACCAACCTTTTCTCTCTCGTTGTGCTTAGGGCTGTGAGGAATACAATAATAAGTACTATACAGCATCTGCTTTTCTAAGAAGCTCTTAATTTTATAAAGGAGTAGAGAGTTACAAATAATATTTTGGAGTAAAAGAAGGCTCACCTGCTCATTTGAAATGAGTGGAGAATGAATACTTAAGTATAGAAATGGCCAAAAGTTAGTGGGTTGAAAGTGGAAAAGGCTATTGTGTTAAGCAGAACAATAGCCACCAGGGATGTCCAAGTCTTAACCATTAATATTGTAAATGTTTTTCCTTACAGAAAAAGAGAAATTGTAAAGATGTGGTTAAGAATCCCATGATGTGAGCCTAGTGTAATCACAGGAAAAGGAGGGAGGCAGGAGAGGCAGAAAAGGAGATGTGACAATGGAAGTAGGTGTCAGAACTCTGAGATCACTGGAAGGGGCTGTGAGTCAAAGATTGAAGGCAACTTCTAGAAGCTGGAAAAGATGAGAAAACAG